TAATATTGAAAATATGAGTCTCAAATTAAGACTCCAAAATGATGTTTTAGCGAGTAAAATATCAGGATATTAGAATAGAGTATATTTTTGCTGATGATTCTAACGAATACATTCACTTGCAAACCCTGTGATGAACAGGTCTCATAGGTCAGCCGTAATCACTATTCGTATTGAAGGGGGAAATAATGGTTTCAAACTCAAATTAATAAGTTAATTATATTTTTGACGGTTAATAAGTTGATTATTAATGTGCAAGAACTTTAAATCATTTTATTAGACTTTTTTTTTATAAAAAAAAACACTATTGGTCAAAATGACCCTGGAGATGAAAATCTACAAGTTTTTTCAACAAAATCTTGATAGTCATATATACACTTTTTTTTCCTGGGATTAAACTGAGATTGTAATTCGAGGATAATTTTGTAGAACAGATGTAACGCGCCATCTGAGGTTTAGAACAAACCGTTACAGTCAGAGTTCCCTGTTTAAGCGAGGCTAAACTCAATTATTAATGACGTTAATGATAATAACGTGCGGGTAATGCCAGCGTGGCGGGAGTGAAGAGTGCAAGGCACGAGTCCTTTAGGCGGCTGGAATAGGTATGTCTGCAGGAAAAAAATAACGGAATTATGAAAGGCGGCGAGTTCTAGGCTGCTGACCACGTTAGTTATAGCCGTAAAAAGTTAAAAAAATGCATGGATTTTAATGGCGGGGCAAAAAATCGAAGCTCAAAAGCTTTTCACCCCCCATCAAAAACTACTGACTCCCTCGCTCACCCCACATTGCGCTGCGCGTGTTGGTACTTCTTAGCCCTCAGCGGCCGCCAAATATTAAATGATCTAAACATCCCAGTGAATCTCATTCATCCATGCTCTCCCCATCAGGAAAAGATTACTACCGCTTTTGATTAGTCAAAGAGTGATTTGACCCCCTAACCTTAAGGGACCGGGTATCTTGGGTCTCACGTGACTGTCATCACGGTGTCCGAGGTTGGATTCATATGATTGCTCGCCACCGTCGGATGCTGCCTCATTGGCCCAGATCTCTTCTATGGGCCCCGTCCTAGCAACGTGTCCCCATCGCAAGGATGCGGCTGGTCGTATCATAACGCCCCTGCTCCATCACCGGACTAGAGATTTCCCCAACCCCGCTTCCTTCTCTTCTCAACAAAATCACCTTCAATTTCAAAATGAAGCGAACGAACCAAGGGGTGGCAGTTCTTTTACTATTATTTATGTTTATTATTATTTATACTCACATTAGAGAGACACGAAAGAAAGAAAGAGAATATGATGAATATTATATTATATTATAATAGTCTGATATTGCGAGCGTCCTCATTTGGGATGTTGGATCCTATAAAAGGGCGATTTCGGTGCTCCGGTCTCCACGGCACCTAAGGTGTTTTTCGCCAAGCGCTTGTTTTACTCGCCGACCCAGCTCCACTAAGTCTCCAAGAATCTGCATACTTTTTCCTTGTATTTTCTCAGCTCTGAATCCCGAGATATCTCCCGTTAGCCCTGATTCTCGTGCGAAGTTTCAAGGGAAGAGTCGGCCATATATAGTCGCTGAACCATTTAAGCCCTTTCACTCCGCCTTCGAATTTTGAGGAACCTCCGGCGTCATCTTCCTCCGCCCATGATGTGAAAAAGCTCCTCTTTTCTCTTTATTCCTATCACTCTCTCGCTTTACCATCTCCATTTTTAATACTATTTCTGTAGCTTTTGTCCTTCCCACGCCCACCTTTGCACGTCTTTTTGGCCGATTTCTGAGCATAATACCTTTGGAGTGCTCATCATGAATTAAAGCTTCTATCTTCTTCTTCACGATTCTCTTTTCATTCCTGAGGTCGGCCCCTATTTGTTTCGCCAACATTTGACTCTTGTTTGCCACAGCACAGAAACACAAAAATCATGGAGCAAAGCATCCTATGCAAATACACAGTGCATCACAGTGTTACCAAGAAGCTCGCGAGGCCCAAGGGCTCTGATTTGAGCAATCCCACAGAGCCCCGAGTCGTACGGATATCCGTAACTGATCCGGATGCCACAGACTCCTCCAGCGACGAGGAAGGAGAGTTTCTGGGTCGACCCAGAGTGAAGCGGTATGTGAACCAGATTGACATCGAAACTAGCGCGAGAAACGGGGCCCTCCTCAACAATGCCCGGAAGAGGCCCGCCGGGAGCACCGCTGCTTGCCGTCGGCCGGCAAAGGTTTCCACGGCCAATAACGGCAGGAAGTTCCGAGGCGTGCGGCAAAGACCATGGGGGAAATGGGCGGCGGAGATTCGAGATCCAGCGAGACGAGTACGGCTCTGGTTGGGGACGTATGATACGGCAGAAGAAGCAGCCATGGTGTACGACAACGCGGCGATTAAGCTGCGAGGTCCCGATGCTTTGACGAACTTTGCTACCCCACCGGCGAGGGAGAAGGCCGAGGGGGAAGAAGTAGAAGTGACCGTGAAGCCGGAACTGAAAGTTTCAGTGCAGTCAGAAGCATCCGGTTCGGGATACGATTCGGGAGAGGAGTCTCATAATCTTTGTTCCCCGACATCGGTGCTTCAATTCAGGAGCAATTCGACCGAGGAAGCAGAGCCGGGAAAGGCTACGGAACCATGCGTAGCAGAGGCAGAAAGAGAAGAAACAGGGGAAGAGCCGTCTGGGGAGTGTGAAGGGGAAACAAGTCAAAGGAGGTTGTGGGAGGAGGAGGAATATTGGAGGATAGAGATGCCGGTGTGGGATGATGTGCTGATGAATTTTGAAACGCCAGAATACTCCCCGGTGATGTGGGAAGAACCGTCGCCGTTGTACTGCGAAACAACTGCGCGGGTTATGGCGGAGGAGATTGGAAGCGCGGGGGAGACAGATTGGGAGAGAATGTACTCGCCATCAGGGATGTGCCAGGTGGACGATTTCTTTCAAGACATTTTGTTGGGGTCAGATCCTCTGGTGGCGCTCTGAGACTGACACTGTCACTCTCTCACACACTTACCCCCTGCCGCCGTCCTCCCCCTGCTGACTCACTCCGCAGATTTTGTTCCGGTGGCAGAATCCGTTGCTTTATTTTTTCGTTTTCCTACAAAATATGAGTTTCTTTTCTTTTTTTTTTCCCAAGTTCGTCGCGGCCAGATTTTGTTAAAATTACTTGAGTGATGCCTAATAATCAGGGCTGTTGGAGAATGTAAGATATGACCCCCAGATGTAATATGGACTCATGGAAGTATTTTTGTCGGGCTACGTTGTTTCCTTTTGCGCACAGGACCATTAAGCTAAACGCCGTCAGAATTTAGTAATTAGTGTATCGGTTGGAGATTCCCTGGGACTTGGGAAAAAGAATTGAAACAGAGTCTGAATTTGTATTGCGATTGTGACTGCGGTTGTGAATAAATAAAAACGAGATAAATATGTGACACAATTTTTTTTTTTTTTGAAAAAAAGGAGGAGGCGTAGATTGCGGAGGACGGGGAGGGCGATGTGAATGGGCAGAGTTTTGCAACTGGTAATGGGAAAACGAGGACCAAAACCACGCCCTATAAGCACAACCACCCGCCGAAGACCCTTTTTACGTTGGCATCTCTGCCGCTCCACTTTATTATATATATTTCTCACCCCCATATTTCACCACTCTCTCCATATATAATCCATTCTCGTTCACTAATGTTTGCCCGCTCTTAATTTTATATTTATCTCCTCATCCTCAATATAATCCCACTCCTGATTAGCTCACTAATATTCATGCGATTTTATATCTTTGATCCCAAGTAGTCATTTTTCTTCTCTTACAATCTTAATTTCTATCAGTAACGGCGATTTTATATCCAAAGTTTATCAACCTGCCTCCAGTGTCACCCTCCATAAACGGCGATTTTATTTTGGGTCCATCCCAAAACCACGTGTCGCAGGTGCATTGAAAATTCAACTGAAACAGATATATTGTCCGTCCAACTCGCTGGACTTTCGACTGTTGGAAAGTTTGTCTCCTTGATTTTATTGCTTTTTCCAGTATGGGGTGCGATTTCTAAATTTCCATCATAAACGACATTTATTACTGTCTTAAATCCAATTATTAAGATACCTTAGTTATATGTTTTATTTTCAACAGTCGGCGTACAATCGGTCAGCGCCAAGAAGAAAATGTGAATCAAATACGTTGAGGGGTTTGTATGCGAACCATGCGAAGCAATTATCTCTTCGTGTCTTTCTCTCTCTCTCTGTTTTTTTTTTTTTTTTTGTGTGGACCTTCCCCTCTAGTGTTATATATATTGACTTAGCATGATGTTCATGAATTAGGTGTGTACTGTGTAGAATTAATTGGGAAAACACAAAACCACCGGCTATCGTGTGGAATGGGGGCAAAGGGGAAACTTGATATTGACATCTATGAGTGTATGCAGGTGAAGATTCCTGGGAACCCCCCCGCTGTTGCTGGCAACGGTTCAATCATTCCTCTGAATTTACATCCTTCCAAATTTTACATCAATTAAGTGGCGAGGAAAGCGTGGGAGAACGGAGACGAAGACGAGAAAAAGAAAGTGGTGAGAAATTAGGTGGGCGTAGGGAGTGATGAGGCCTTTGCCAAAATGTTTGAAGGTGGGCACATGCTGTGTCATCCATGCAGTGTTTCGGTTTTGTCACCTCGCCCAGTTGCACCCTATGTGAAAAGGCCACGTTCCTGCTCCTCGGGTCCCCCGCCAGTCTCATTCATGCCCCTGCCCTCCCCGTTTCTACACGCTCTCAAAGTCGTTGCCTTTTCATATTCCACACGCACCTACTTGTCTAATGTGTCTCTACTCCCTTCGGTTCCCCTCCCCAGCACGTTGGATCCCCTCACTGCACGCTCACTTTAATTTCCTCGCTCCTCTTTTACCCCAATTTCTTTGATCATCACCAGCCTCTGGTTCGCAAGAAACATAAGGTTTATATATATGTATCCCTTTCTTGAGCTGGAACAAATATTCTCTCATCAGTTTGGTTTGAACTAAAACCCCAAATAGTGATGAGATCCCGCATAGTGGAGTCTCTCGAATTTGATGTGTTTAATTAATTTGGTGAGGGTAGGGAGGAGAGCGGGAGCGGCCGGGGGGCCAAGGTGTACGGAAATTACAGTGTGGCAGGCCAAGGGAGAAAAAGACAGAAGAACACGCGACGTGGGGAAAAGAGAAATATTTAGAAAATGACCCTCTCATAATTGTTGACCATACGTTTCTCCACATTCCACAAATTATGTAGCTGTCACCCGCTTGTTATGCATATCTGTATTTATAGCCCTGTATTCCCCGTGACCCTTTTCCTGGTTGTGGAATTCGTATCCTCTACATGCTTTCTCAATTCACCCTGCCACTTCATTCTTTTCCATCCACAATGCTAACAGCAACTGCCAATAGCAATCACATCCCTGTTATATTAAGGGCCTGCTTGTTTTAGCGTTCCAATCAAACTGTTATTGCCTGTTTGATTGGACCACGTGAATGGAAATTACATGTAATCCTAATGCATCCCTGCATTTCTAATGTTTGGTTGGTCCAAAACAATGTAATGGGCATTATATTCTCAAATTCAGTAATACGGATTACATTCAAAAACTTATGCAATCCCCATTACCACTGCTCAGAATCCACTCTTGACTTTTCTACCCTTCATCCTCGTCATGGTGTGGCTTCATCTTTCGAATCACATCGAAAACAATCTTTGCTTGCATGCTTCTCCTCACCGCCGACAGCCACCATTGGCTACATCTTATAGTCTAAAGTAGAACCACATCGTCCTTGCGTATTTCTTATCCAAAAAGAACTCGCTCGAATTTGAAGACCACGATTGCTCTTCTAGATTCAAACCCAAAATTTTTCCTATTCAAAATCTAAAGCCATGATTGTTATTTTGTTCTCGGCCGACAATGGACAGGGGGGGAGGGCGTTGGGTGACTGGAAGAGAGTTTTCTCTGCTAGGGATATTTTTGTTCTTGCACTCTTACTTATATTTAATTGAATTAAAAAATTAAATTCCATTGTACAGCGAACCAAACACCGTCATGCAATGCATATTGCATTACATTCCATTTCATTTCTGCACATTCAATTAACCAAACAGGCTATTACTGTATGAGCCCAACACAGCATTTAATAAATGAATTTACAAAATAAAGTCAAAATTAGATGGCCTTGATATGGTACTATCTCCGGTCCTAATTATAAGAACTAGTTGACTAATTTGATAATATTAAGGAAAGAAGTTAAGTTAGTTATTTGTAATAAAAAGGTATTTTCTTTCCTAAAATATCCTTATTAATCAAGTATACTGGCTAAAACTATCATTGTTAGAAGGATTACTTTGGGAAAAAATACATAAATATGAGAAATAAAGTGAATTGGAGTCTTTTATTTAGGACCAAAATAAAAATCAAACAAGATCTTATATTAAGAACCAGAAGTAGTACTAAACATTTCTAAAATTAAAGTCATTAAATAGAAAAGTAGGAGAGCTTGTTGGTCTCAATAAGTAAAGGGCAGCCGGGTAAGTAAAAGGGGCACAGAAACTTCATTTATGTTTTCAGAAAGCAGCAAGTTATGGCGCAGCTTAAGGCCCTCTCCTTATCATGTACTACTCGCAGTGCTTAGTCCACTGTCAACACTATTGCGCCTAGCCATATGCACGACAACAACCTGCTCCAAATCATAACTCTATCATTGCCCTCGTTTTAAAATAAAATCATATATAATTCTCATTATTATTATTATTATTTTTCCTGTCCTGGTTTCACCGTAATGTCTCCCATTTCACGTTAAGTGACGTTTTAAATAAGTTCACCGCTTACCTCAATTTACTCTGTGTCCGCCAGATTTTGTACTGCTCTGCCTCTGTCTCTGTCTCTGTCTCGGTTGGTTTTCACTTTTACTTCTTATAACTGCGGCACCTTGGCGGAAGTTGGGTGCCATGAAAAGCTTTACCCCAACACTTCAGAAGAAAAGGGGTTTGCTGGTTATTGAATTAGGAGTTGATGTTTTTGGTGAACTATTAAATTTGTAACAACGACCCCTTTTGTTTTTACCTTTATTAACTAGCCATCCACCCATCCCATCCCATCCCATCCTCAGCGATAATGCTCCTAATCCCCTCACCGTCCGATTAGTCCGATGCTGATTATTAAAGCGTTTCTGGCCCTCTGTTCCAATTGCTGTGCAGAAGCACGCACCTGTAGTGCTTACTAAATATATAGGACACTGTTCTTTTTCTCGCCCATGCCCCCTCCAAACAATAAATTAATTAATTAACTATTTCAATAAATAATACCCCCGGCATTTTTGGTTTCAGAACGGCTTCTCATTCCTTGTTGGGCTACACCGTGACCGACTGATGACGGTGATGACGATATTTTGAATTATGCGCATACCATGAGAAAATGCCAACAACGGTAACAAGAACAACAAAGAAGAGTAACGCTATAATTATATGTACTAGCTGGCAGGCTGAGTCTCGATAGAGAAATCACATTTCTGCTACTGGGCAAACAGACAGTAGTGGTTGCCGCGTATTTTGAAGCTCATAAGCCTCAATGAATTACACTGATGAACATATCAAGACAGCCTCGCACATTAAAAAACTGCCAAAACTACATTAAATACTGCTAGTCTAGGAGCAAATAGGCTAAAGGGAAGAGCGCAGTGTAGGGTACGAACCGTGTTCAGCTGTTAGCTTTTAAAAGGTACTTGTTCACTCATGCGTGCAGCAAAGACCGATAATCTCATTTGTGGTAATTACAAAGTTTCTCTGAAATATACAATTGAAATGGTACGGTGGCTTATAGTTGATGCAATCTAAAAGGGACAGCAGGCCACTTGTAGCAGTAGACGACTGCAAACGACGCCCATTTGCAGGCTTTTAAATGCAGTTTTGTTCAGTAAAATTACGATCCAAATGAAATCAATCCAAGCCAACTTGCACACACGTAGACACACTGCCGTGTTCAGTGACAGAGCTGAGAAGAAATTGAGTGAACAAAGACAACATTGAGCTGCTAAATGCTGGTGTTTTATGCCTCCGTCTCAGCCACCCCTTGTGACGTTTCAGGACAAATTTCGGTTGGTCCCCCCTGCCCTCCCGTGTCGTGTCTCTTTCTCATATGCTTTCAATCCATCCTTTCTTCAAAAACCAAGTAATGTCAATGTATAGGTTAACGTTTAACATGACCTATATATTCTCAAAACCATGCATGCCACAAACAACATATACACCCTCGCTCCTCTTCCTACTAGACACATTTTGACAAGGTTTGAGATATATTCTGGTTTGAACGACATATGTGTCCTTCACTGATTGCTATTCATCAGCCTATAAAGAATTCAAGATTAATATAGTATTATTGGATTATATATACAGTGGCGGCCCGGATTATCTTTGCATCAACACAACGAGTGAGCACGAGAGAACAAAACGAGAATGTGCCAAATGATAGAATAATTAAAGATAAAGACTGGGCTTCCTCATCCCTTGTGAGATCACCGGCTCACGTAGGTTGGTCCCCCACGCGCCCCTGCTCTCCAGCAGCATCATTCACTACATACCAGCTGCTGCAATTTGCTACGCTCTTTTTCTTCCAAATCCAAACACTGCCTTCATTAACAACAACAACTTGGCGGACACTGCTTGTCCACGTGTTGGCTTGGATTGTATGAAATCCCCTCCAAAAGTCCCCCGCGATTCTGTTGGGACCCACGAAATCTCCTCCATGTTCTTTTCTTCTTTTTTTTTAATGCTTTTTTTAGCGAAATAAAGATATGAAACCGATTCTCTCTCTTCCTCTGAACAGATCGAATACTTTTATCCCATGGAGCGTGTGTAATGTTATGTAAGTGCATTCCGATCGATGAACAAATGGAGGAAGACAGGAGCACGTGAAATACGCATGGGATTTCTGTAGTGGTTGCAATTCAATTCCCACATTATAATCAGCCCAGAAAAGAATTGCCGCACTATAAGAGGGGCGTCGACGCGGCAGTGAGGGGGTGAGTCGCATGGCGATCATCAGCAGACACGTGGCAGAATCTGGGAGTCAACATCAGCCGCCGACAGGGTTTGGGAGTGGTTGAGGCGTTGATTTGAAGGTTCATGTGATGGCAGACCGACCAAAACCTGAGACCCTCCACGCGCTCCCACTATCTGTAATTCAGGTCTCCAATATATGCATCATCGGATGAATCAAATGTGATTTCGACATATAAATAATGTTGGATGAAGTAGAAAGAGATTTTTTTTTTCGGGAAAAAAGAAAAGGGCAGTTAAAATGCGGCCGAACATAAAACCTCCACTGGAACAGAAAACATCGATGACCTTTGGAATAAAAGGATGAGAAGACAGGGAAAAGTGATTTTTGAAACGTAGTGGTACGTGCATGCACCGGGCATCCAATGGCAAGCGAGTGAAGTAGATAACTATGCGTGTTGACATGTGCTTCGTGCTTTTACAACTCAGCGGTTTGCCTTGCATAGTCAAAAGGTTATGAAAGACAAGAGAGATGACCAAAACTTTCCGACATTAATCCCATCTTTTGATCAAGTAATGATAATCGATCATGAAGGCATGTGTGACCCCAGTTGCGTTTTAATTTCAACGCTTGTGGTCCCTGCTTGATTGACACAAACGAACTCGTGTTTCGGTTAAGGCGTCCAGATCTTGTTGGATCGGAGGTGGCCCATTTTTCATGATTCTCCTGCTTCCTTCGCCTTCTATCTATCCTGCTTCACTCTGCTCAACTAAGCTTTTATGCATTTTACAAGTGTTCACGCTTCACATTTTCATTATTGCTTACCAATTATTACAAACCTGCTGTGGTTTGTCCAAATCCATTTAGTCCCTTGGCTTTATACATAGCTTCGTTTTCAATGATTTCATGGTTTCCCAAGCAAAATGCTCCACACTCTTTCATGTGGCTTACGGGCCAGCTACTCAGATCTGTCCCTGTCCACAAAGTTGTGGCCTTCTCATTTTGGGGGTCCATGCAATATTTCGGTCTTATTGCCAGTGGACTTACTGAGATCCTTACACATCTCAGGCCCAAAATGCCTCCCATCATCCTTCCGATGCCGGATTGATCACTGATGATCAACCAACAGACCATGAATTCAAATGGCATCCATCTCCTGACCGCCCTGTATGGTAATAAGGACAGCTTTTATTCCCTTAGTTTGTTTTTATTTTTCAAAGTATAACATGATGAGGTTATAATGAGTTTTGATTTAATAATAACAAAGCGGTAAGAAATTATTTATCATCACATAAATTCTTGATCTTTGGCCCTCTGGATCATATCTTTCTGTATCGCATTTGAATTGTGTGTTGTAATTTTAATTGCTCTCCTCCTTGGGACCAAAGTTAGTGCTAAAGAGGAGGATCTATATATACGCGGATGAATATGGGGTCGTTGAATCAACTGGACGAAGGAGACCGAGTACGGAGAGCTGTACGGAGAAGGAATATGAAAATGATCAAAATTCAAATTACAGGATGGGATCCAAATTCCGGGGCAGCCCTTATTTGCGAAACGTCAATATTAATATATTTCCAGCATAATTATATTAAGGTCATTCCGAAACTGTTGCGTAATTAAGGCCACATCATTGGAATCACGAGAGACTGTCACTTGGATGGTCTGACTAATTGATTTATGTGCGGCCCTTTCTTATGAATGAAGCCGACGGTCTGACCAAAAAAAAAAGAATGAAGCCGACGGATCAATCCTTGGCCAAAGTCTCGGAGTGAGATCCCTGCTCGCGAGTGACCCCACTGGCGTTTGGCGATAGAGTGGGTTCGGCTTCTTTCCCGTCCTCTCCGGAGATTTCCTCAAGAGACCGCCCTTTAAGTTGGTCACCGCCAGTATCTTCATCGTCTTTCTTTATCTTCCCCGTGTCCTCACCTTGCGTGAAATTCTGTAGGCCGAAAGCCGCCACAATCGCGTCGGCTTTTGCCACGCTCAGCACGTGACACGTGGACCTCACCCGCGTCGGAAACAGCTCTGTCGGCAGCAAGAACGTCGTGCTGTTCGGCCTGGAGTTAGTGAAAGAAAACGCGAGCCCATACAGCAGAGCGAACAAGTCTATGTTATTCTTCATGGCGTTGTATTTCACACTTACCACAAACATGAAAAACGACATCATGAAGAACCCAATCAGTTGGATCTTGAAACGGCCCAGATTCGGGAACGTCCCGGGCAGGGCGATCGCGAGCATGCCACGTGACGTCTCGTACACTTCCAAGCATTCATCATCTGAGGGTTCGGGTTGACTAAGCCCATCGTTGGGAAACCAGTTACGGCATCAGATTTAGACCATCTATGGATAGTCCAGATTTAATTAATTTTTTTATTTTTATTTGTTTAAGATAATTATTTTAAGAGATATATAATATAAATAAAGATAATCTTTCAACCATTATTTTTTTTTAAATAATTAATTCATTTTAAAATCTGCACCATTCAAATGAAATCTTAATGATCAAGATTTGATAAATTTAGAATGTTCATCACAGTGATGAATACTGAAACTGATTTTTATAGTTGGAAATATGTCCTTTTAACTAATGATTTTAAGTAAGAAAAGTTACAGCGTATCAATAATCAATATAGAAAAAATTACAATAAAGTCCCAAAAAATAATTCTTAAAAAGTCCTAATAAAAATTGAAGGAGTTTGTAATGAGTAATGACAAGTTTTAGAATAGACAATTACAACTTTTGAGAGTTGTTTTGTAATTTTTTTTCTTTTGAAAGATCTCATTGTGATTCTCCTATAGAAAAATATAAAATTGATATCCCAAATATATTATCTGCACCATTTAAATACAATTTCATTCGTCCATATTTGAAATCTTTAATTAATGATTTTAAGTAAAAAAATCTGTTTTTTTTTTTGAAAAATTGACATTTGAGAAATCATCTTTACTTTAAATTAGATGTGGAGGTATGATACATCTAGGTGCTACTCTTTGGACTTTGGTTAGCATTGAAACTGATTCTGAGCAAGAGCAGATGTATCATTTTGTCCAATTTAAGAAAATTGTGAGAGAAATGAATGTCCACGTCCCAGGCTCTCAGTGAGGGAGCTCTGGAGATCATAACGTGATCACGTCAAGTTTTTGCAACGCAGCATTCAATTCACAGGTCTAATAACAAAACACTGCTCACTGCTTTGGCCGGCAGAGTGCAGTCGCTTATAAATTTTACAAGTCGGAAGCCATTCTTTGCTGCTGAATGATAAAGATAGAAGCTCTACCAGGTATATAAGCAAGCAGATCCCCAAGGACCCCAAGTTCAGGATACTCGCTCCATTGCAACAGTCCTGAAGTCTGTGGACTCTCTATTCCATCTCTCCTGCCAACTATTATCAGATCATACTCATACACCAACGACCTCACTATTAGTGCCGTCTCTGGCCCATCTTTCACCCTCTCTTCTCTGTACTTCACGCTTGCTCCCCCTATCTTTTGCTTCACCCTTACCTCCTCCAGTATCTCTGCCTCCAGCATCCTGTTCCAGTCTTTGATATCCTTTCTCTCTTCTTCGCCGTTGAATCTTATCACTGTCAGCCTCACGTTTGGGTTCTTCGTCATTCTCTTTGCCATATGAAACGCTTCCCTGTCATCTCTCCCCCCTATGAATATCAAGCACACCGAGTAGGGTGTCTCCGGCGAGAATACGTGTGACATTTGTGCTCTCTCTATTAAGATTCCCACCGAGCAGGGTGCTCTGTCCAGCACGCTAAGGTTCAAATCTCTTATGGATTTGTCATCTAGCTCGATGCTGTTGCCGTCTGAGGACCATTTTTGGTGAAATGGGAGCACTATAAGGGAGGTCAGCTTATCTAGTGCCAAATTGCAAATGTCGTCGTTCATCATCTCCGCTGGCGATACCGCCGAGAAGACATTCACAGCTAATGCCCCGTTGAACTCTTGCTCAAAGCTCTCGAAAGCATGGATAACGTTGTCGATGAAGGTGCTCCTGGTTTTGGGCTTGTTCTGCAACTGGTGGCATATGAAAACAGGGGTCGCTCTGCCTATTAGTTCTATGAGCTGAAGTACAAAGACGCCGAGCGGCTCTTCTTTGGTCGGGTATATTGCCTCCAGAAGGTTGATTGCTACTGGAATATTTTCGGATCTGTGAATGCAAGTCAACACTCGAAACTCTGAGTTGCTTCTTAGATCCTCGATATTCCTCTTCGTGTAACCCGCGTATTTCTTTGAAGGATCGTACATATAACTTATCAGGATCGGCATGATCGTTGCGTTCATGACCATGCACAGCATCAAGAAAGAGAAGACGTTATCCGGTAAGCCCTGCATGATTCAGATTTTCCCCAAAATAAACAAAAGAAAAAAAAACTCAGTTACTCCAAAATTTGACATTTGATCGAGGAAGTTTCAGGAATCAACCAGGCAGAATAAGTTACGCACCATGATGTCTCTGATGAAGGAGCATGTGGCCATTTCGACAATGCCCTTACAGCTCATAGTGAGTGAGAGAGTCATGGCGTCTTTCCAGGGCATTTTACAGTACAAGGCAAACAAGAAGCAGGAAACCAATTTGGCAAGGAGAGTTATAACAACGAGGAGGAACACTTGTAGCATGAAGGTGTCAAGTTTTCCATCCGGCCTCCTACAGTTCATGAATTGCTGGAGATCCACCCTCACTGCGCATGTAGTCACGAAGAGCGGCATCAAAACACCAGTCACAAAGGCGTCGAGCTTCTTGATAATGGCAGTCCCCAGTGGAGGCCCTTCAGGGATGGCCAAACCCAGGATATAAGGCCAAAAGAGAGCCAAGAAATTGAAATGATGGGAGGCGTAGGATGATAACAGAGCCACTATAAGTATGCAATAAACGTAATGATCATTAACCGGACATCCGTCCGGTGTCCTTCTTATGATCCAAAACATTGAGGGGCGAAGGATGAACACGAGAAAAAGAATGAACAACACGGCAGCTCCCATATCTGCCAAGGCTCTCAGTTTTCCTACGACCATCATGTTGTTGCAGAAGCTAACCACGAAGGACAATGATATACCAAGCGTCTCGCTCACTAATGCTGACGACAGCCCTACTCGTCCCAACTCCGAATTCAAGATCTTCAGATCACTCAGCACGGAGGATATGACTGGGAAGGGCGCGATAGAACATATGATAATGATGAATGGGAGCTTTGCATACTGATTGGGTTCCAAGAATTTTGAGGACACGTAATATTGGGCCAGCATGCCGCAGGCAAACGGAGCCAATATGGCAACAGCTCCGACATTCATGGCCTTCCTTCCTGTTTTATGAACCACGCTTATGTCCGTCTTGACTCCAATATAGAAGAGGAACATGATGTAACCAAACACTGAGATTAATCCCAAGGTTTCTTGCGAATCAAAGGGGAACAAAATCTTCTCACCAGTTTTGCCGAAGGCATTTCCCAGGATTAAGCCTATCTGCGGATTAGTCATTCAGATAACCTGTTAATTTTAAGAAAAAGCTAAATGAAATTCAGGAGAGTCGGAAGAGATAGAGATGATGACAAGAGTGCTTACGATGATCATGGAAGTAAATCTAGGGAATCTTAAATGAGTGAGAAGGCTGTGGAAGAAGAGAGTCCCAAGATAAATGATGAACATTTGCATCTCCAGAGTTGGCAGGGGGCTATGGATGAATTCGCCTTGATGGCCTACCCACACGCCCCTGGAACTCGTCTGGGGCGGTAGAATCATGCAGGTTCTTTTGTACACTGTTGTGCCATTATTCTCCGGCGACATGCCTGTCTAGGATTATCCCCGGCTGTTGTTGCGGCAATTAGGGAGAAGGAATATGGATCCCGTGCTGAGAAATAAACAAAAGGAGAAATTTTATTGAAACTTCCTTTCCAACACATATAAATCGCATCGTGTTTTGTTTGTTTTTAATTAATGTGCGAATCTGTCAGTATATCAGTTTCATTCAGTTACCAGTTTCTGATAATTTTAGATAATGATAACTGTGTTGACTCTGTTTGAATTACTGGCGATGACAGACTAATCATGCGTGCTTCTAGATAAAATTTGGATGACAATTGAAAATTACTGTACAATTCGTTCTCAAAATAACATGAAAGTGCTGTATATTCCTCTCCCTCCCTCTCGTTTTTAATTTAGGAGCATCGTCCACGCACGAAATGTTATCAAACATAATAGCTAGATAGATAATTTGTATGAGAGAACTTGCATATCATAAAATGCATCGGCTATATTTCAGAATAATTATTATTACAATTAAAAGCTTAAATTTAAAGTTTTCTAATTATATGTTTTATGTTGCAGATTTATAATGCAACCCATATTTACATACGTGCATATGGATAGAAATAAATGATAAATATAGAACTCGGGGCAAACAAATACTACCTTCACTCTTTGATATAAGACTCAGTTGACTATTTTGGGAAGATTAAAAAAGTTAGTTAAGTTAGTTATTTGTAATAAATAGATTTTTTTTAAATGCCATTATTAATCATATGTGTTTGAGTTACAAATTGATAGTAACTCCTTAACATATATAACTATAATAGGGATTACTTGAAGAAAAAATGGATAAATATTGAAGACAATATAAATTTATGTATTATATTTAGAATCAAATTAAAAGTCAAATTATATTTTATATTAAAAATTAGAAATAGTAGTAAATATAAACTAACAACCCATCTCTCTCTCTCACTACTTCGTTTCATGTAACCTAAAAGATAAATTACCGTAAGAGACAACTGAGAGCTGTAAAAATAATATAAGATGCTTTTAGTATATTTTAAATTTTAGTAGGAAGTGTTGTGCAATTTTCTTCCATGTCTTTAGTACTTTTAACAGAAAGTTAATAAAACAAATTGAAAATTATAGGATGAATTACAGCGCAAGAGAATTGGTTTAGAATTGTGACGCGTGTCTAGCATTGGTGGGGGTGCGTGGTTTTTTTTTTTTTTGGGCACTCAGTGTGGGTGTGGGGGTTAGGCACTGAGGCGGCGCAACTTTCTTCTTCCACGTGGTTGGCTTTCCACCCCCGTATCTCCTCATTCCGCTAAAACGGGAGTTCATGAAATTTCGCCTTTCGTTCATCCCAGGATTTTAAACGAAAAATTGGGAAAAAAATCTCTGCAGAAAATTTCAGCCCAGGGTCGGTAGTTTTTTTGGGGGAGATTGCAGTTCTTTTTGTTAGTTTCATTCCATTAGAGGTGAGAGATACTTGGCCAAAAAAACAAATTAGAGGTAACGAGATCCCAATATATTGATGTTACGTTTGGATTGATGCTTCGTGACTTCAAAAGTACCTTCTAATTAATTAGACTTTCAACAGGCATAATTTTAAAAAACATAATAAATATTTGAACCATACTTAAATCAAATTTTTTATATTCTGTCAAATTTTTTAATTATATATAACAATATACTCCTCCGGTCCTAATTATAAGACCCAATTGACTTATTTGAAGAGATTAAAGAAGTAAGTTAAGTTGGTTATTTATAATAAATAAGTGTTGTCATTCCTAAAATATCCTTGCTAATTAAGTATATTGGTTAAAACTATCATTATTAGAAGGATTATCTTGGAAAAAAATACATAAATATAAGAGACAAAATGGATTGGGGTCTTATAATTAGGACCAAATAAAAAGTCAAATAGGGTCTTATAATAAGGACCGGAGGAGTATCTTATTTTTAAAATATTATATATCACTAAACTATAAACTCATATGCGAAAAATAGGACGCATAGTTTTATGTAATTGAAGGATTTTGCACAATAAATATAAGAAATTTAATGCATTGGGCAAAAAACAAATGAAAAACATAGTATAAATATTTTCTTTTTACAAATTCATATGGTCAGAAAATTAAAAACATAATATTCATCAGTTAATTTCATTCCATTCAATTAAAAAGTTTTAAAAATTTTACTTTGAAACAACATTAAGATCTGAATAATATAAAAAAGAGAGATGCGCAATTTTATTTATGATTTTATATCCTTTTAGTTGAGCAGTTTTATTTATGATTTTTGGGCAATTTTACCTATAGTCTTTTTTTAATTATATTGCGGTCTTATCCATTTCTAAGCGCGCATATATATATATATATATATATATATATATATATATATATATATATAAAGATTACAGATAAAATTATAAAAAAAAAATCACAAATAAAATTGCATCACATCTTTAAAATGTCGGCTAAACCTAACAAATAATACTCCATGGATAAAATTTCACCTTTAATCTATAAAAAATGCTTAAGCATTGCTTACTTGCCAAATCTAAAATGCTTAGAAATCATCTCGCATAAAAACAGTATTGTTGGAATTAGACTTATCAGTTCAGTTGACCGAGAAGTAAACTAGTGAAAAACCAATCAAAACCCATGACGATCAATTAAAATCGTTGAGAACCGTTGAAAATTTGGTCTTGAGTATAATTTTTCTTCTTTTTTTTTAAAATTCAGTAACTCAAAAGTATATTTTCGTGTCTTTGTTTGTTTTTCCACGGGTTTTTCCTTGATGTTAATAATAATGATAATAATTTATTGGTTATTCCGGTTAATCATAAAAGCCTGTGCTTAAACAATTAACCTGGCATAGTTAAGAATTTTGATCATCTATAGGAGCCAATAATAAATACTTCTATTATAATGCGTGACCGATGATAAATTTAGCGTGCATGACAATTGACATGAATAAATATTTGTCCAAGATATCTGTTCGTGCGCATCATACAAATCAAGACTCACCATACAATTGAATCTTGAACAAGCGCTCTAGCCAGTTAAATGTTCCGCCCAGTTTTGAAACACGGCCAAAAAAGTACAACAACGAGCTGCATTTATTTTAAGGAGTGTTTGGATGGAAATAAAATCATGATTTTAAAAATAATTTTACAGTATATAAAATAAATATGTGGATGATTTTATTTTGATTTACAAAAAAAAAGTATTTTTGAAAAATATTTTTATAGCTTTCTAAATACTTTTTAATTTTTTGTGCATACACACTAGTTCTTTTTTAGTACTCCTCCGGTCCTTAATATAAGACCCATTTAACTAATTTGATTAGATTAAGGAAGTTAGGTAAGTTAGTTAATTATAAGAAAAGTGAGACATTTTTCCTAAAACACCATAATCATTTTTCTTAATACCTCATCTCCCTCTTTTACTTGATTATGGTTGAGGGAGTATTCATAGGGGTAATTTAGAGAAAATTGATAAATATAAGAAAGGGGTCTTATATTTAGGACCAAAACCAACTTGAGAATTGGGTCCTATATTAAGGACCGGAGGAGTACTTAAAAAAGGGGCTCCTAATCCCCGCGCAAGTGGCGCCTTATTCTCCTCGCTGGCGGAGGAGAAAGCCCTAGAACCAGCAGTAGGAAAGGCAACGTCCAAAGCGATGCCTCTCTTAACGCCGCTATTGTAAGGCATTGTTTGGCTTCCGTAATAACCCCAATTTTCACTGTGTGATATTGGTCGTAAACTGCTCGCTCTCTCTCTCTCTCTCTCTCGAATCGAAGGTTCTCGGTATCTTAAGCTCCTGCACAAATTCAAGTCCCATCGTTCTATTCTAAACAGAGCCTTTGACTTCCCCCCTTTTGCTGAAGCGATTTCTAGGTTTTTTACCGCCGGAAAAGGACGTCTATCATTTGTCAACAAACGTGGCGCTCATTACATCAGCACCACGTCCGTACCTTCCCTTTTGCCGGGTTAACATTTAGCTTTCCCCTTCTCCAAGTACTTTGGGACCTCCCTGTTCTCTCTCTTCTTTCCTATAACGGCAGAGGTTTTTTCCCGTTTGTCTGGTAGGGAGACTAAGCAATAAGAAAATCCTAAAGAATGGTGGATTCAGAGCGAATCCAAAATCAATGGATGCCTTCCGGACAAACCTTAGAGGCTGGAATGGACGGGCAAGGGTCCTTCTTGTTGGAATGCACCGGCACGGGTATCAATCGAGATGGAGAGGAAAGCTCTTCTCTCACGAGACAAACATCAGATGGTGGTAAACTGGGAGTCGGAGAACGTGCTTTCTCTGCCGCTGGCGCCGCCTTTCTCTCCGCAATCATTGTTAATCCTCTTGACGTTGCTAAGGTGAAATTATCGCTTCTTCTTTTGGGTTTGTGCATTTTGGTTGCGCTGTGATTGTTTGCTGAGCAAGTGTGACAAGAAGAGGCCAAGAACTCGTGATTTATATTGTAATTAGCTTAACATATCTTCGATTGGAGTTCGGACTACAAGTTTTTAATTAGTTCTCCACATATTTGACTTAGAAAACGAAAAACTTGTTATTTCTTGCATTCATAAATGTAGAGACTCAGTATTAAAATGGCTGTCTGCTAATTTGCGAATGTTGAACGAATAACCTGTTTATATACTTCTTGAATATTTGTTAACCATTCTCTGTTAAGACCGTCTAGAAGTTTGAAATGCATAAATCCGTAGTCGAAGTCATATATTTTCTGCAATGCTCCGACCTGGTGGTACGAATCGCTATTAAGCAGGGGAAATCATAGGTCATGTCGTTATTAATTATCAACATTTACTAGATTATATTTGTGTGCCAGGAATGGACATTCACTTTTTTTGCTGGTTGTGTTCCATATGTTACTCTTGTAAGTTTTTTTTCTTGCCATCTATCATCGAGAGCTGCAAATACTGAGAGTTAGTTTGCGTGGTTTTAGTCTATTAGACTTCTTTTATCTAGTGTTTTATAGCTACGGCAACCAGCTGTACGGCCGAGCTCAA